GGAGACGCTGTAGTACATATGCCAGGCCTGTAAGTGGCACTGTAGAATGCCACAAAAGCAGCGAAGAAGACTTCCCGCGCATGGTTGCCATGGTTGCCCTTCTGTTTATTCTCCGCTGTGGCTCTTTTTCTCCCTCCCCGAGGCAAGCGTTTGCTCCCGCTGCTCTAATTCAATGCAATCCCTCCCCGTCGAGGCCAGCACTGTAATTCTCTCCGGTTAGTCCACTAGCAGATGACAAACACCCACCTCTCCGCCTCTTCCAAGGAACGAGGGGAACGTGCGGAAGAGTTTCAGTTAGGTTTTCTTTCGCCAGTCAAGATGTCCGTTAAAGTTTAAATCTTCCGGACAAAATTAGAAAAGTCAAAGGTCAAAGGTCTTCTTTGTTATTTATTGAGCTTTAAAACAAATGAATAACGACTCTACATAATGATATAATAAAACACGGAGGATGGAGATCTATTTTTCTCCCCCTCCTCTGACTTGATCAGAGCACGCTCCCCTCTCCTGCAGGGGGGCGTGGTCAGCTGCAGCTCACAGAATCAGCCCCCTGCAAAAACAGGGCTGGAGAACAGCAAATAGAGCGAAAATTAGGCATGGCTAAAATGCATGATCTGTTAGGTATTTGGTATTTCATTTAAATATAGCATGATAGGTGTCCTTTAAATCCGGCTCCCCGTCTCCCTGTTGCTCTGTAGCTGGCCTGTACCACTACACCTGCTGTCTTTGGAGCGTCTGTCCACCATCCTTCTTTCACATAATGGAATGATCCTAGTGTGTTCTCGCATATAATTGGCCGCATGGTGGCTCAGCAAAATAAAGTCCCGCCCCTGCCTGTGTAGCAGGTTGGAAATGCTAGATGTTCAGTTTAAACAGACACACCCTCTATTTTTTGTTAATAATATAATCTTTCTAACATGTATACAATACACTGTAACGTCAGTAGATGGCGCCCTGGCGCTGCTGTGTATCCATTAGGGAGGAGCTCAGCTCATGCGCATGTCAGAATTAAACGTGCCGTGATCTGAGCGAGACGCTAACTTTGGTCCTCTCTCTTCAAATCCACAGGTACTGCAAAACTAATGTTTCTGTCTTTAGCTGGCATCAAGAGATAATGTAAATGCACTGTCAATTGTTTAGTAATGTTTCACGGGATTTGTGATATGTGTGTAAGTGTAGCAAGTGTCCTTTTGTAGCTAATTGCTCTGGTTAGCATCACCATGCTAAGTAGCTGTTTATGTAACCATAGTTAAGCTAGTTTCACAGTTCACGTGGTCACGCCATATTGTCACGTGCTGCTGTTAAGTGAGTGTGTGTTTTGAGGTATATTATTTTGGTACCTATTGATATGCTAAGTTAAGGAATATATGTTAAATAATTTTAATTCATATGCATGTATTTCTTATTTAGGCAGAATGTTTTATATTATTTATACTTTATACTTTGTATATGTTTTGTCTGTAAGACGGTTTGATATAAATGTATCATGCATGTTAACTGAGAGCCTTGACATAATGTGACTGAACTGTATGCCATTGATGTCAGAATTCAACGTGCCGTGATCTGAGTGAGACGCTAACTTTGGTCCTCTCTCTTCAAATCCACAGACACAGTTTATATGTTGGTTACACAGTGCTCCGTAGTCTGTGTAACCCTTGCTGCTGGTCCAGATTACCCCTAGGTCTGGTGCCGGTAACACTGACAATTTATGATCAGGACACTATTTCCCTTAGGACCTAAAAGGTCTTGATGACATTCGGAGGAGTTTTATGATGGAGTGCTTGCTCTGAACCAAGGAAGCTCTACTCTGTCAGCCTTAAACCTGCAAATAAGTAGAGAACCACCAGAGAATATCAAGAGGGAAATAGAGTTTTCATACTGTAGAATACAATTCTAACCTAGATTATTGTGTGCACCACCAAAACACTATCAACTTTCTATACAGGTCTTAAGAAATCTTATTAGGGTCATATATTTCATTGGAAGAGCGCTCACGTTTTTACAAGAGAGCGCAGATGAGTTTTAATTAGAGATGTTTCCCCATGATATTGTTATAAACCATGGGATTAGCTTTATAATAGGCATTGGGAAAACAAAATATTGAGTTTCCTGAATAGACTGTCCATTACCATTTCAATAATTTGAGAAAATATGTACAGTTGGACATAATGCCATAGTAGGGAGAATATTGGTGTGACCAGCCTTGCGTCTGTAAGATAAAATGACTGCCAATGGAGAATAGCAGCATTTGCAAAGCCCTCCCGTTTACGCACAAGCACACACATAACAAGGGGTAATGGTCAGAGTCTGCCCTCTTGTTACTTCAGAAATAAAGGAGTTGAGGACAACAGCGGGTGAGAGCTACTTGAAGGGAGACATCACCTCTTGAAATATAATGGAGGAAGATATATGTAATATAAACTGCAGTACTTAGCCGTTGGAAGTTTTTTTGCTGTATTACCGGTCAGAAAAAGACAGTAAATAATGTTTGCTCTTGAATTTAGAACAGGTGCAATTTCCAGACATAAACTAAATAGAAAATTGTTCACCATTTAAATGCAATGACAAAAATGTTTTCGTAATAACGACACCACATTTATGACACAACAACATTGTCTGTGCCTTCCGGAAAAATATGTTTTATTACTTCTGGATTTTGCTGGGGACAGCTGTGTTATATGTTTTGGCTATTTAACGGCTTTGTTCTTTCCTCCAAGCAATGTAATTCCACACCAGGACTAGATGCGTTAATTATGCAAGCAATATGGAGAACCACTGCTGGAGCACGCTACTTTGTGTCTGGTGAAATCACAAGCATTGACAACAGTGACTCAATGGAAAGAAGGGATGGAGAGGGAAATAAATCATGGTTTGCGTTGAAAATGGTCAAAGTTAAGGGGACCTTCGTCGCCATTTTACAGAATGGCTGTAACTCATGCTCACTGTCGGCAGGAAACGGGAAATGAACAGCTGTCACATGTTTGATTGTCCAATCTATTCACCATGACCTATTTCTTACAAGGACTTTGTGTTTGTCATGACCTCTAGAGGACATTATCGCTTGAGCAGATATATGTTATTTCAGGATATTGCTGAAAGAACAAAGCCGTCATTTAAAAAATGGTTTAGATGTTCTTAATAAAGTCGTTGCCCTATAGTTTTATTTCATGTAGTTACTGGTGACCTACCTTATGGTTATCTTAAATGCCAAAGCACACAATATTCTGGAATATGTTTGTAAATTGTAATTCCAGTGGTTTAAATGTGAGTACAACAAAACGCGTTTGAAAAACAAATAACCCCAATTGAGAATACGGTGATACTGTGAGGCTGAATAATACAAGGTTAATTTGAAAAGCTATCGCACAAAACAATTTTACTGCAGTGTTTCAAGAGTCCTTGATAGAGAACCGTGACCCGAGAAGAACTGACTTGCTGGCATTCAATTTCTGTGTAGAATTTGTCGGCACCTAACTGCATTCACACCTGCTTCACAAATCAATACTCTATCTTGAATTCTGACTTTATATTTAACACATCTACTGACGCAGGCTGCATTATTCTGCAGTAGAAGTTCACATTTGGAAGCCAGTTGAGTCAATTAGCTGAGGTTGATCAGTCAGATGTCGCTTAATGCACATTTGATGATCCTTAAAGCTCAGTCATTTTCTCCTTTGGGGTCTTAGTTTTTTTCATGATTTCCATGCTGAATCTAAACCTCCTACTTTTGTGCCAAATAGACTTCAGTCTTAGTCTCAACACGGACAGAGCTTCTCTCATCAATCATTTAAAGGAAGCAATTTGCACAGCACCTGTCCCAAGCCGGAGGGTATTAAGGTTCTCAGTGAAAGATGAACTGTGGACTCAATAGTTGAGGAGTACAGCTCATTTACAAAACAATGCTTTCCACAGACTGTTTGACGAATTAGCAAGCCTTTTTTTCCATCATCGTCAGGTTAAGTGTTTTCTCAGCCAAAGAACACTGATTGTGATTAATGTTTGGTTTGCTTCCTCTTCTATTTTATCAAAGTCTCTATGGCAAATGCCCTCACAAGAGAAGATTCCATGTAGTATTTCGGTCGACCAAACCCCCTTCATTTCATAGAAGACAAATTGCATCTTTATTTTCCCATCTTCCCACTGCATTGCCCACCTGTTTCCTGCAGTAAGCCAAGATGGGGGATCAGGGTTAATGCATTCAGGATTACAGCAATGTGTTGCCAACTCTCTGATGACTCTCCAAAGTGTGTTCCCACTGGTCAGAGTGTTAAAGCAGCTCTGTGCTCACATAAGTCCCACAGCGCCATACTCTACTTGTCCTTCGCTTTCTGAGCTTCGAGCCTTTCAGCTGTGATTGTAATGGGAGGAAGTGTAGCAGAAGGGTAGCAGTGTCCAGAGGCAGCGTCCAGACAACTTCCCTCGAGGATCCAGTCGGTAAATCATATAATAGGGCTCCACTCCCAAGGGACCAAGTTCATTTTGAAACTGCTGCCCTGGGATGGCAGAGGGACAATCAGCAGAGAGTTGTGTTCATGAAAAATGTATAAATGCTGCACTATCTTGTTTTCCGGGCACAACAGACAAAATAGAAAAAACGTCATTCTCTTACCAGCTACTCATTTCTACTTACAGTAAAGGCATTGTCCTCAGTTTTGACTCTATATAATGTGGTGTAGATGACTATCTTCATGGGAACATAACAAAATACAAACGCTGATAGTTTCTTTGACTACATTTTAAAACAAGTAGAAAGTGGACATGGTCAGCTCAAATTCAACAAAAAGGGAGAGAGGTGCTTAACAGGTAATATATTTATGATTAGCATGACCAGGTTCTCATCTCAATAGTCTATGACTTACTGTTTATAATATGAACTATTATGTTTCTAACATAAATTATTTGATTATGAGTATAAAAGGCTTGTTAAT